GAGTTGGGCAATCCAACTTCCTGAATGGCCATTTTATTCTTATTTGAAACCCATGTTTGATGAATGTACATCAAAATCCCTCGATCACGTGGTTGATTAGTTCTATCATGATTAGAACCTTTTGGTGGGAAGCCTCCATCAACTGTCTCTCTTTACTTATAGCCAATTCCTTCAACAAAGTGGTATCTAATCAGGGAGGGATTTCTTCCCATTTCTCTAACATCTCTAAACTGTATGGTATCTCCCATTATTCACATTTTGCCCTTGCGGTGAGAATTGGATGTCTGCATGTTAGCAACAATCTATGTCCTTGTGGTGAGAAGTGGGGAGTCTTCTCCTTCCACTGCATATATAAAACAACAATCTACAATTTCTGATAGCTTCTTTGATAACACCTGTTGATAACAAACATTAACTGCCACATAAAAACATAACTGCCTCATACACAAACTGCAACTGCCTATCTGGCACTATTTTATCAACATTTTTGAAAAAAACTTAAACCATCAATGCTTTTTGGGCCATCTATCTACAGGCCCATCATAATTCAACCTATAAGAAGCTCAGAGCAAGAACTGATGACAAATCTGATGATCTCATATTTCAACAACTTGAGATTACTAAGGTGCAGCATACAATTCATATAGAATCAATAGGGAGGCCCAACATGTTACCATAGGGTTGAAATGAGGACTTTTAGATCCCACCGCTCTATTCATGCTGGAACATATTCTCATTTCACAATCTAATCTATTGCATTCATAAAACTAGTCATTAGAGGACATTGTAGCCTGTAGCTCCGTTATACTTGTTAGCTGATAGCCTGGATCAACGGATAAGATTTTTCTCTGGCCTATGGAACTCTTAGCAAATTAGATAGATAGCTCACTTCAAGCAACTCTGATTTTGTGGTCTTTCCTAGGCAATTTTTCATAAATCTTGTTTTCTTTGATCCTTAAGACAGACCAGAGCCACCTTGTTTTGGCAGGGTGCAAGCACCTCACTTATTAAGTTTAAAAATTATATACTTCAGCTAGATGTTTATCATAAAATGTTTGTTTTTGCCTAGGAATAAAAGAATTTCTATGAACACATTTCCCTTATAGTAAGTTAATTTCGATTCCTAATGATCATAAATCCTTCCCTTCCCTGTCCTCATACTGCAGTTAACTTCTGACTCTATTCATTTATTTTAGGAACTTGTTATATTTTTTTTATATATCTAATTTTCACCATTACAGTAGGGTTAAATCAAAGTTCAACCTTAAGCCCAAGCACATCTCCTACATGCCTAATCTCCCCCAATTTAATTTAACACTTTTCCTTTTGCCAACCCTCGTGTTTGAGGGACCGTGTAGTGATATATTTGTAAAAGCCAACAAGGGGCAACAAGTTGGTATCACCCTCATCCTTAAAGTTGGTATCTCACTTTCTTGGGATACTTGTGGTGTACTTATTCTTGTTCTTCCATCTCATGGTAGCCATTTTTTCAACATCTTGGCATAAATCTAATAAAGGAACTTGTATATATAGTTGAACAAGTCTCGTAGTACCATCTAAACTTTTTCTATAGCCTCATCCACAAGCGAGTCTTTCTCCATAATGATTATGTCCTTTTTTAAGCTCATCTACTTGTTTTCTAATAACATTTTCTACCTGGTGATTAAATTTTTATTGGAAGATAAAGTTTCCTCTTTGTTATGTTTTTCTTCCTTAACTTCGCAACATTTTTTGCATGACAATATTCTAACGAGTGACTGATAATATGACAAAAAGAATATAGTGAAAGGAGTTTTTAATACTCAAAATAAACATAAAAGCATTAATCCCCCTTCTACAAGAAGGAAATTGGACAAGAACAACTTTCTATGCAATAGATTAATTGTTGGAGAAGATTCTCCTTTCTTCAACATTATCTTTCCATAGGGTATGATCTCCAAAAAAATGCATGGATAAAAAGATATGAGCTCAGACCTTCCTTGCCCTGCTTAGGGCTATGTGATAGCACCCAAAGGGACCTATTCTATTTGAACAAGACCACATAAACTATAGTCATACGGTCAACCGAACCAAAGCCAAAGCTAAATCCTCTGCCCTTCGCTCCTTCCCCGGCTCCACTCCAGAGCAATGCCACGACCCGGTCGAGTGCCTTTCATGCGGATTCCTTCAAAGAGAAAGAGAGTGTGTATTCCCGGCATCAATGCAAAAACTTCCCGGTCTGGGAACAAGAGCAATTCTTGGTCCCACCAAACCATGCCATGAACAGTACAAGAGCAATTCTTGGATAAGATTTTTCTTTGGCCTATGGAACTCTTAGGAAATTAGATAGATAACTCACTTCAAGCAACTGATTTTGTGGTCTTTCCTAGGCAATTTTTCATAAATCTTGTTTTCTTTGATCCTTAAGACAAGACCAGAGCCACCTTGTTTTGGCAGGGTGCAAGCACCTCACTTATTAAGTTTAAAAATTATATACTTCAGCTAGATGTTTATCATAAAATGTTTTTTTTTTTTTAATACATGCCTAAATGTTTGCAATGTTTTTGCATGGAGGAATAAAATGGACACCTGTTTAATTTCTTGCTCAATGCTCATATACTGCAGGTTCAACTCAAAAGCCTGAAGATATGTATAGGATTGTTGAACACTTTGCCCTTGGAAGGAGAAGACTTGAACTGTTTGGTGAAGACCATAATATCCGGTCCGGCTGGCTCACTCTTGGTAAAGAGCTGTCGTCTTCAAATTTTAGTAAGGAGGTAAGAAATTTGAATGCTTATATGCCAACATTGTATCTCAACTGGGGTATTCCTATCTACCTTTATTAATTAATTTTTGTTTCTTTAGCAGTTGGGTAAAATCTGCAGCCAATAATTTTTTAGATGCCGTAAAATAAGCTAAAATTCATAATATATACTTCAAACATACTTCTAGCCTGTCATCTGTGTTGTGTGGCTTTTTTGGTTTGATATTGGAGTTTTTGGAACTTATCTAACTCTTTTATTTATGTACAAATAATTTGTTTTATCTTTATTTTCTCCAACATCAAGATTTTCTTCTATCTTTGTTACTTGATGCTTATCACCTGTGTTGTGTGGTTTGATTAATCACATTGATTGGATTTGGATAACTTTAGGCATATGTCAAGAATTTTGGTGACAAAGATGGGAAGGTTTGGCAGGGTGGTGGAGGAAGAAACCCACCTCCGGAGGCACCTCATCTGGTGGTGACTACTCCTGATATAGAGGCTCTTAGGCCAAAGTCCCCAATGAAGAACCAGCAACAAATGCAGCAGCAGCAGCAATCAGTATCCATTTCTTTGACGCCGGGTAACGCATCAAACAGAAGGCCTGGGAATTCACCGCAGAATCCAAGTGCACTTGGTATCAATCAAGATGCCTCTAGTTCAAACCCATCTACACCAGCTCCTTGGGCTTCTTCTCCTATGGAGAACTTTAAGGGTCGTGAAGGCTCTGTATTGCCTTCAGATGATAAAGTATTTGATATGTATGGAGGGTTTAATGGACCACCACCCCCAGGCTATCTAGATTTTGAATCATTCAGACAAATGAATATGTTGTAGCATAACTAAAAGGATAAGGTTGTGTTATTATGTTATGTATAAGTTTTTTTCCCTGCTAATATAAATGGGAAGAAAATTATTTGCAAAATTTCTGTTCATTCTTTTGGTAGCCCCCGTTTCGTTAGGTGAATAAAAGAAAGCGTTGGATTACTGTAAAATTGGTTACATTTTATTTATTTTATCAAATGTTCTAAAGCAATGAGTCTAACTCACATGCTTCCCTGCGAGTCAGTCAGTAACTATGGAAGGCCAGTAGTTAGGCCTTTGATTTTGTTTGGTGAGGAGAGGAGGGGAGGGTTTCGAAAAAGAAATTATCTTAAAAAAAAAATTTAGAATGATAAAATAATGTTTAAAATTAAGGTATTTTTAATTTTTGAAATATTATAATAATAAAAATTATATTTGAATAAATTGTTTTAGTCCTCAAAAATCTTTGACCAATATAAATTGATTTTTTTTAAATTAGGAGTTTTTTGGTGTTATGAAAAAATACAAATTTTTCAAAACTCTTTTAATCAAAATCTTTTACTCTTTTCACCTAATTCTTTTTATTTTTTAAAGTCTTACTTTTTTTTGTCAAACTTGCAAACAAAAGGTGTCAACGTATTTGACAAAAAAAAGTGTTAAAAGTTAGGATTTGAGCAGAAAAAATATATATCAGTTAAAACATAAAAAGTATCCTATGTTGGATTTTTGTGTGAAATCCGTCAAAATTAGTTGTTGAGAAATTGTGAAATTTATGTATGCGGTGATTATATTTTAATTTTTTATAATTTAGTTTAGAACTGTAAAAAAACGTCTCATCCATTGAGTCAAAACTATGCCAAGTTTCTATTTGCGCGTTCTAAAACTATGCCAATGAAAATTTAGAAGCTGCAAAATCAAGCTTCTGCGTTAACGTGTGAATCCAAAAACCGCTATAAGCCAGTAATTTTCTGACTACATATGTTGATTTTGATTTCTTTATTGGAAGCTTTATGAGGAAAAGTATCCAATACTTCATAATTACAAGATGTGTTTAACATTTCTATCACCCCAGTGGCAACAAAATCTTTTTTTTTTGTAGTGGAGGACATGTTCTTACCAAATACAAATGTTGATTTGAACTCTAAACTGATTGTATGAACTTTTTTAAATATTTGAATGGTGATAATATTTTGTATTCTATTTTTTCTAATTTGTTAATGTAACTATTTGAATGGTTCATTATCATTTTTTTGATTTGGAGGCTCATAACCCTTGGATTTCTATAGGCGTCACAGATCCAGTTTTATTCTCATTATCAATAAGCAATAGAGGATCTCAACTTTAAACAAGTGATTAAACTAAAATAAATTCATAAGCACACTACATGTTAACAATTTTGTTCTTTAATTTTTACACAATTTAAGTGACTATGAGGCAACAAAATTGATTACACCTACGAATCCGAAGGTAACGATTCACTTTCAGGCTTCTGTGGAGGTGGCACAGTTGCAGCAGTTTCATCAGCTGCAAACCAAATCATGTTTAAAGACGAAGATAAACAAACTAGCATGAAAAGACGGAAAGAAAGAAGGAAAAAAGACTAACCAGCAGGAGGCTGGATTTGCTGTTCGATTTCATCTTCTTTAGGAGATGGTATTTGCTCCTGCTGTTGTGCAGCAACGGCCTTTAGTTGCTCCTCTGTAATCTTAAGATACTCCTCAGAACTGTATGCTTTACTTTCATCTAGCTTCCCATCTGTATTTTCAGAAATATAATCATATTCGTGTGTTTTCTTATGCGTAAAAATCGAATTTGGTACTAGATAACTCACTAGGGTCAACAGCAGTCTGAGAACTATTGGTAATTTCAGTGGCTGATGGAGTTGATGTGGTGTTGCGTACATTGGAAGAGTATGTGCTTTGTAATGGGTTTGAAATGTCATCAATGCCAATCTCCCGCTCGAGCGTACTCTTAAATTCCCTTGAAACATCCTAAAGGAACAAAAATGGCAAGTAACGACATCAACACATGTAACGAGCGGCATATTCGTAACAAATTTAATCTAGACTCTTGACTCTATAGCATATTGCACCAACCTGGATCTCTCTAATGGTGGGTTGAAATTCACGCAATGTTTTTCCCAGATTTCGAGCAACCTGCATTCAACAGGTAGCAGATCACGTGGGTAAGAAAACACGTAAATGAGAATACTATTATTCCACGTTTCTCAACAATCTACTAATACAAACTTCTTTCAACTAATATGTGGCGTTGACATTTTATTCAACAAGCAGAGGAACCACTCGTGGCTTACATATAGCCCAATTAATAACCTCATGCCCACTGTATGAGTATTCATATTCACTTTGATGAACATCATTTAAAAACAAAAGAACAAAACTTTTTTGCTATCTGCATCATAGTTCACATGGTATCACTATCCTCAACAATGATTTAGACCAAGTACATCTATCTTGGATCAATTCATCTTCGTGATGTTTAAAATGGGATAAAACTAATATAGAGCATGTATGAGGATTTATCTGTTGCTTAGCAGTAAGAAGAGAAAGTCCCAGCAGATTGGTACCATATTACAAGTATCCATCAACATCTGGTATTATTCTGCTTCTAGGAGGTTTTGCGTATTATTAAAGATTTTGACTATTTAGAATAGAACAACAATATTCCTTAACTAATACTACAACAACAACAAAGTCGTATCCCATTAAATAGGTCGACTACATGGATCAATTTTCGCCGTACTGTTCTATACATGACCATACTTCTATCCAAATTGTTAATCTCGAAATCTTTCTTAATAACTTCTCTAATAGTTTTTCTAGGTCTTCCTCTACCTCTAGTTGTTTGACTTTTCTCTATCTAATCTACTAGGTCTTCTCTCATGTCCAAGCCACCTAAGTCTATTTTCCACGATCTTTTCTACTATAGGTGTTACCCCAACACTCTTTAATATTGTCATTTCTAATCTTATCGTGTCTAGTCTTACCATACATTCAACGCAACATCATCATCTCTGCTACACTTACTTTATTCTCGTGTTGATTCTTAACCGCCCAACATCCTGTCTCGTACAACATCGCAGGTCTTACTGCAGTAAGATAAAATTTTCCCTTCAGCTTGAGCGGTACCTTTGTGTCACATAAAACCCCTGAAGCCCTCCTCCATTTCAACCGCTCAGTTTGAATTCGATGGTTTACATCCTCTTCTATTTATCCATCGTTTTGTATTACGGACCTGAGATATTTAAACCACGTGACTTGTGAGATGATATGGTCTCCAACTTTCACCTCTAGGTGAGAAACGTTTCTCCTTTTGTTGAACTTACATTCCATATATTTCGTCTTACCTCTCTTTAGGTGAAACTCATGCGTTTCTAAAACTCATCTTCAAGTTTCCAACCTCTCATTTAAATCGTCTTTTGACTCTCTAAGTAGGATTATATCATCTGCAAAAAGCATGTATCGGTGCTAGCTCTTAGATGTGTTCTATGAGTACATCCAAAATTAAAGTAAAAAGATAGGGACTTAGGATTCAACCATGATGCAAACCTATTGTAATGGGGAAATCGTCTGTTTCTGCATCTTGTATCCACAAGACGATACTCCTTCCTACATATATCTTGGATAACTTAAATATATGCAATCTTAAACTCTTTCTTCTCTAGGTCTTTTCAGAAAATCACCCTAGACACTATATCATATGCCTTCTCCAAGTCAATAATATTCCTTAACTACTAAGAGTATTCATTATTGATCACTTCAAAACTCGTCTTTTGCAACCCACAAAACTAGTAAATATCAACAATGAAAATCTGAACAAACGAGAGCAATTTATTATTTCTTTAGCATAAGAATGCAAGATTGATACACAAACAAGCTACGAGAAAAATAATAGCTCTTCGTGTCTGTGTTCATTGAAGGTTGGTAATGACATTTGATAAGCAATTCTTTCAAACATTCACCAACTCTTAATGTTTTGTCAATTGGAAATTTAATGTACACAATCTATAGTTGTTAGCATTTCTAATGTCGATTTCATGAAACATCTCGAGCCTTATATCCCATCTTCTCCTTGCAAAGGAGGCGGAACAAGTTGTCAAGGATGTTTGAGATAAAATCATGAAATCACCCTTGGACCTCCATATTTACTTAAGCTGTTAGATGACCGGCTCCTTGACTAGGTAATAAACTATGCAGCACCGACGCTTCAAGTTGAAGGTCCGGTGTCTGATACCAACTCATGTGATTATATTCAATTACTGGTTTTTTCAAACTACTGATGATGTGAATTGTGTCATTATCATCAAAGATTCTTAAATCCATTCACCATAAACATAATAAGCAAACTTCACTCAACCTAATCCGAATTGCATATGAAAAAGCATTCAAAATTGTAGTAAACAAACAGAAGAAATGATACCAAAGAACATGAAACTAACCTCAGCAAGACCTTTAGGACCAAAAACCAACAAAGCCACAACCCCAATCACCAAAGCTTCAGGTGCTCCAACCCCAAACAAAGACGCATAAACAACCTTACCCTTACACCGACCCTTCCTACCTACAAAAACATTACACCACAGTAAAGTAAAACAAAGTACAAATCATGAAACACAAAACCGATAACAAAAGTTGATTGTTATTACCATACCGATAAAATGAAAAAGTGGTTTTTTGGGTTTAGTTAAGAAACCCAATTGCTCCAAACGATTCCAAGGTGTGAAAAGGCGTTTACCCAATGAATAGAGATGAAAATGTTGGATTTTTGAATGTGTAGTTGGTGTACAAGTGGACAGAGACATTGAACATGTTCCTAGTTTGGGACATAACAACATGGTTGAAGATGAAGAAGCAATTGCAAGAGATGGTGTCATTGGATTTTAGGAATGTGAGAGTCAAATGATGGTTAGATTTTGGTTCGGTCGTAGAATCCTATCTCTAATCTAATCTAATGGCTAAACCAAAATTCCTCTTAGAATTTCAATTGGTTCTATAAATATTTTTTCATTTTTAGTTTTAAGTCTTTTAAATAAAATAAACCAACCATTTTTTTACCAATATATCAAATAATAACAACAAGGGTTAATACCTATTTTCACCCCTGACATATGGGGTGTATTTGAAAAACCCCCTGCCAAAAAAAAAGTTCCAATAGTTACCTTGACAAATTTTAAAAGTTTCAATTTTTACCTTGAGGCTCCCACATCACCTAAAAGGCTGATGTGGCTTATTTTTTTGTTACAGTTGTACGTTTTTTTTTGCCATGTCACACAAGACCAAGTAAAATGTCCAGAATGCCCGTTTCTTAAAATCTCAAATTATTTGGCAAAATTAGGGCGCAGCATCTTCATCTTCATCTTACAAAAAAAGCCAGTTTCAATTCAGACCCTGCGATTAGGGTTCTTCATCCTTGCAAATGGGTGTGTTTAATTTAGTGTTTCATCATGGGGGAAGTTTCGTGCAAGACGGCCATACGTATTATAAAGGAGGTAGTGAGACTACTGTTGAATGTCAGGACGAAGATAAATGGAGCTTTTTTGAAGCTATTAGTCTGGTTAAAGATTGGGGTTATGAAGGTTTTAGGCTATGGAGAAAGATTCCGCAAACAGATGAAGGGTTTACAAATGTTGTTGATGATGCATGAGCTGTAGAAGTTGCTAAGCATTGTATGTCTTGTAGGGTTCACGGCGATCTTTGGGTAGAGCACGGTGTAGAAGACATGATGACCAAGGTTCTGGTACCTAATGTTGATGACTTCAGCACCTCTAGTGGAGATGATAGTTCTGGTGACTATGTTGATGCAAGCCAATGTTTCAATGACAGTGAAGAGGAAAGAGTAATTGAAGTAGAAGAAGAGCAAGCCAATGTTTCAATGACATTGTGCTGGGAACACTGTCAAACTAAATACTGAGAGACCACATCCAACACTACCACTAAGATTTGGTAGATTTTACTTCTGTTTTGATGGATGCAAGAAAGGGTTTACCAAGGGTTGTAGACCATTTATAGGGGTAGATGGGTGTCATCTTAAGACACAATATGGAGGTCAATTGTTAATTGCTGTAGCAAGGGACCCGAATGACCAATATTATCCTTTGGCATTTGGTGTGGTGGAGACTGAGACAAAAGAAAGCTGGAGATGGTTTATGCAATTGCTAATGGAAGACATTGGAGAAGAGAGAAAGTATGTTTTTATTTCAGACCAACAAAAGGTACAAATATGCACTAATTACCTTAGTTATTCACATTTATGAAACATGCACAAATATGCACTAATTTCTGGTACTGAAGTATTTCTGGTGCTAATGTTCAACATTTATGAGAACCTGCTGCTAATGTTACATGCCTTGTTCTGTTGATAATGTTCAACATTTATGAGGAATATATAAGTTGCTAATGTACATGCTTTTTTCTGTGGTCTTGCTGTTTTTAGGGACTTGTTAGTGTCTTTGAGGAAATGCATCAGCAAGTTGAACACAGGGTCTGCCTCAGACACCTGTATGCAAATTTCAAGAAGAAATTTGGAGGGGGAGCTGCCATTAGAGACCTGTTATTGGGGGCTGCAAAGGCTACTTACTTCTAGGCTTGGGAAAAGAAGATGAATCAGCTTAAACAAATTGATAAGAAGGCATGGGAATGGCTGATGGAAGTGCCAACAAAACTATGGTGTAAGCATTCATTTTCATTTTACCCTAAGTGTGATGTTTTGATGAATAACTTGAGTGAATCTTTCAATAGTACAATATTACAAGCTAGGGATAAGCCAATACTCACTATGGTAGAATGGATTAGGAACTACGTGATGAATAGGATTGCTAATAGTGTTGTTAAGCTTGATAAGTGGAAGCACAATGTCATGCCTAATCCTAGGAAAAGGCTTGATAAGGAAACATATCTTAGTGGAGAATGGCTGCCTACATGGAGCAGTGGTGATTTGTGGCAAGTCCATCACCCATATAATGGATTGCAGTTTGTTGTTGATATTGGGAAAAAAACCTGTACTTGTTGTTTTTGGGATCTTGTGGGCATACCATGTAGGCATGTTGTTTCTGCATTACAGTATCAAAACTTAGATCCTGAGAAATATGTTGACCCTTGTTACATGAGAGAAGCTTACAGGGCATGTTATGAAAACAATGTTAGTCCAATAAATGGCATGGACATGTGGCCAACTGTGGATGCTGAAGAATTGTTGCCACCACAATACAAGAAGGGACCTGGAAGGCCTAAGAAACTGAGGTTTAGAGAGTTGGATGAGAATGGTTCAAGGATGAGGAGGGTAGGTGTAGCATACAGATGCACGCATTGTGACAAATTTGGCCATAATTCTAGGAAGTGTCAAGCTAAGGAGCAAGATCCTAATGCACTAAAGAGAAAGGTATTGTGTTCATGAATCTGTTACTGAATAATATTGTGTTCAGCATATTGAAATGTCTTTATTTATATCTGTTTCTGAATAATGCAGAGAAAGACACCTAGGACCAAAGTGTCAAAAAAATCTGATGCAAATGTTGATACAACTGCAACTGGAGGTGGAACTGTGGATGAAGACCCTGAGATGGATGCATTGCTGAATAATATGATGGATCTTTATGAAGAACAACAATCACAAGTTGACAATCCCACACAACCTACTGCTATGCAACCTCCCCCAACACATGAATCACAACCTGCTGCAATGCAACCTCCCCCAACACATGATTCACAACCTGCTGCAATGCAACCTGACCCTGCTGCTACTAATGTCAAAAAGCCTTCAGCTAGGAAAAAGCCCGTGGCCGTGCCTTGGAAGCGATCAAGAAAGAGAGTCAGTGAAAGATTTAAGGGAGTGAGGAATTCCAAAAGACATGGTGGGCCTGGATCAACACCTGATGCACCTTTGACCATAGGTGAAGAAACTGGTGGTAGTACCTCAAAGAAGATATCAAGGAAGAAGAGGAAGGGCATTGATCAGTAGTTGTGCACATAGTGTGCTATTTTGTAAAATTCAATTTGAAAGTTTCCTGTGTCATTTTGTTACTTTGACTTATTATCAGAACAGGCTTGGCTTAAGTTATGTATCATGTTATTGTCATTTTGTATCACAGATGTACTTGACTATGTATCACAACAGATTTGCTTGACAATGTTAAAGTCATTTTGTACAACAGATTTTGGCTTAACTATGTTATTGTCATTTTGTACAACAACTTTGCTTAAGAACATAATTACTTAACAACATATTTGCTTAACAACAGATTTTGTAAAACAGAATTACTCAACAGAATTGCTTAAGAACAGATTTCCAAAATATCAGAACAAATTTCCAAAATATTCCAAAACAGAATTACTTAAGAACAGATTTCCAAAATATAAGAATAGATAACCAAAACTCATGAGAGTAATATATTCCATATTCCATAACAAAGAAATATAATTCATGAACTAAATTTTACTTAGGTTACAACTTCCTAGAACATAAGCCACAACTTCATGAATTTTTACATGAACTAAGTAAGAAATGAACCAAAAGACAAATAAACCCAACTAAAACATAATTCAGCTTCTTTTGTAACTCATCCATTTTTTTCTCCATGGCTTCCATCTTCAGTGCGATATCTCTCTCCAGTTTGCTCATCAGTTCTACTGAAACTACATCCGAATGGCCGTTATCACCGAAATCATCAGAAAATTCATCATCCCAAACAAATGCGTTGCAGTCATCTCCTTTACCCCAGAACTTACACTTCCAGTATTTTCTCCCGGGATTTGCAACCGATTTTGAAACAAATAACTTCATGGAGACATTGTGGCCGCATTTGGGAGTTAGTCTACCATTTGAAGATAAGCATGAAGTAGAACAATTTGGTTGACTCATGTTTATGAAATCAAAGAAAACTTAAAGATGAAGAGGAAAGAGGAAAGCAAAAGTTGGGTTGCTGAGATGAAGATGTTGCACCCTAATTTGGAGGTGGAGGGTCTGAATTGAAACATAGCATTTGCCAAATTATTTGGGATTTTAAGAAAAATGTAGAAAGGGCATTCTGGACATTTTACTTGGTCTTGTGTGACATGAAAAAAAAAACGTACAACTGTAACAAAAAAATAAGCCACATCAGCCTTTTAGGTGATGTGGGAGCCTCAAGGTAAAAATTGAAACTTTTAAAATTTGTCAAGGTAACTATTGGAACTTTTTTTTTGGCAGGGGGGTTTTTCAAATACACCCCATATGTCAGGGGTGAAAATAGGTATTAACCCTAACAACAATAAAAAAATTTGTCCAGTTAAACCAACTTAATTGATACTATAGTAATGTAGAGATATCCGATAATCATAAAGATGCCGATTCGAATTCACACTATTCTATTTTATTTCTATAAATGCAATTTCAATCACTAAACAATTAAATAAAAAAATTTATTTAGTCAATTGCGAAATTGCACTCAATATCGGTATTTGTTAACTTTTGAAGGATGCTAGTGACAAATCAATCAAAATTTAATCAATTTTCATATAGACAATTATATGTTATAATTATTTTTGTATTTCGTTGACAAAAATGAATTTTGAATTAATTTATTACATAAATTAATATTGGCTACAAATAAACTAAATGTAAAATAATTGTGTTCTGGACTGGGCCCGACTGACCCAATAACATTGATAAGGCCCAATCCAAACGGACTTGCTGGGGGTCACGCCGACCAAAGGATCACAGTCGTGCCCGATGTACTCCCTGGGGCTACCTGCTCGACCTCCTACTGTCCAGCTCGACCTCAGCTCGAGCACCCCTCCTAGGGCAGACTCAGTCCACTGCATCCTCACCCGGGTCCTGAAAAGACCGCGTCCTCGTCCGCCCGCACTTCACGCAGCACATCCAGGAAGGAGACCACGT